ATCCTGCTACCGAAAATCTTGTACTCCACAAGTACGCCATCGAAAAGTGTCTCAAGGCAAGGGATATCATCAACAAGTACCAGGCTAAAAAACAGAAGATGAATGCTATTGAACAACGTTCCGCCGAACGTGAAAAGGAGATAGACTATCTCCGGAACGAACTTCAGAAGATGAAGGTGGTGACTGTTGATTTGAACGAGAAACTCATCAAATCAGACCTTCACATTGGAAAACAAGACAAGGACCTAAACAGTTGTTTTGCAAAACTTGCACTGGTTGAGCATGGGGATAAACTCAACAAACAGGCAAGTGAAGAGCAAAGTTTTACCATCGAATCTCTGCGTAACGAATTGTTTGCTGTGCAAAATCTTGCAGGTGAAAGAGAAACTGAAATAGTGGTTCTCAAGGAGGAACTCGGTCGGGTAATGGAGGAACATGTGGTACTTCGGAATCACTGTTCTACCCTTGAATAAAGACTGAGTAAGAGTGAAGAAGTTTTTCGGATGATCAACAAGCCAAGGGCATCATATGCTGAAGTTCAAAAACTAAGTCAGCAGATTGGTTCATCCAACCAAAGTAAGAATGTCGAGAACCAGAAACTGAAAGGGAAGGTTGGAGAATCAACCTCATCACTGAGTAAGGCCGATCTAACTTTTGTTAAAGAAGGATACTCAATTGACTCCAAGAAAGGTAAGCCATACTCTCCAAAGGCTCAGCACAAGAATACTGGTAAGAACTCACTACTGTGGGATTCGCGGTCATATTCGTCCCAAATGCTATAGAATGCATAATGATATTTATACGGGCCGAATTAATGACTGGAGTCCTCATGGTGTTCCCATGAAAGCTCCTAAATTAAAAGTTGATATAGTAAATCATGAACAGAAAAAGATCTGGGTTTCTAAGGAACGTAAGAACGTCTGTCTGTCCTCCATACTTGCTTTGAAACCCACATCCAACTCTGACTGGTATTTTGATAGTGGATGTTCTCGTCATATGATAGGTTTGAGGTCTAACTTAACCAATATTATGCCTGCCTCTTCCAGTTCAGTCACTTTTGGTGATGGGGCAAAAAATAAGGTTCTTGGAATTGGGTGCTTGAATGTTCCTGGTCTGCCCAAACTTAAAAATGTTCTCTTGGTTCAAAACTTGAAAGCCAATCTTTTGAGTATCATTCAATTATGTGATCAGGGTTTGTATGTGAACTTTACTAAAACTCAGTGTCATGTGTCTGATCAAGAAAATAAACATGTTCTTACTGGTACTAGGTCCAGGGATAACTGCTATCTTGTGGAACTTGATTTGAAATGTAATAAAACCAGTATTGATTTGACTGAACTCTGGCATCAAAAGCTAGGTCACATTAACTATCCTCACCTGATTGAACTCTCTTCCACAGGGGCTGTTCGAGGATTACCAAAGCTGAAGAAGGAAGAACCACAAGTTTGCGGATCATGCCAAATGGGCAAACAGAAAAGGGCTTCGCATAAGAGGTTGTCAGAGGTCAGTACAAATCGTGTAATGGAACTGATCCACATGGACTTGATGGGACCAATTCAGGTTGAAAGCTACAGCGGTAAGAAGTATATTCTAGTCTGTGTGGATGATTTTTCTAGATTTTCTTGGGTTGACTTTTTTAAAGATAAGTCTGAAGCACTTGATGCTTTCAAAAAACTCGTGTTAAAACTTGAAAATGAAAAACAAACCAACCTGGTGGCAATCAGGAGTGACCATGGTAGGTGTTATCATCCAACTCGGCAAAACATCATTAAGGAGTCTTAAGCATCATGTTAAGTGAAATTAACTATTGAACCGACGTGATCCAAAGCCGTGCTAGTCCACGCAATGAATCGGTCCGAGCTACCGAAGACCGAAGTAACTGATACCCACCGAGGTCAACTTAAACCGAGGTCGTCACCTCCTAAAGCAGGTGACAAGGAGCCTACACACCCCTATCACGATTCACGAGATTTGTCATCATTCACGTAGGACCCACTGCTCCAACCGCCCACCAAAAGTTACTTTATACGGAAAATAATACACGGATTCCAATGTATATATCAAAAAAGCTACTATAAATAGCTACCCTATGACACTTGTACGGGGATTCCGAACTCATTAATATGCAACACGCAATAGCCCATAAAGGCTTTTCACCTCGGTCCACCTCGGACCGGGGCCATTGTTGAATAGTTCTTACATGCTTTACGTTTAAACCACTTGAAATTATCCCATAAACTCAACTTTAAAACGTTGTTAAGAATCATACGACAACAGTTTGGCGCTAGAAGGAGGGCCTCATAAGTGATTTGAGGTTAACCTCCGCTTTCTAAAGTAACGATTCACATCAGCCATATCCATAATGTCCCATTCAGATCATCGTGGTAATACTTAATGAGATGGCCACATTCGCAGCGCTGCCCAATCCGCCAGACGGCAGGCCGTAGCTCCCCCTGTACCGGATTATACTGTTCTGTTTCAAAATCTAGAGTTTGCACGTGGTTTCGCCGCTTTGATGGTTCAAACGATCCCCGGCACATCGACGGCTGCCCTGGGACACTCTATAATACCAACGACTCCTGCAAATCCGCAGAATCCACCAGTGCGGCGAGACGACGGAAGAACTACGTCTCACGCAACCTCTAAACCTCGTGATAGAGCGTCGCAACCACCTCCAGAACAAACCACACGTCGCACC